CCATCCAACGGTAATACTCATCGTACTTCTTAGAGATACAATTGTTACACTTTCTGTTTCTGGAGCAGCAGGAGAAGTCTTGTTTATTCTGATCCATCTTCCACATTATAAAAGCAATAAAAAGGAGGGAACCAATCCTGTATTTAGCTTCCGATAACAACCAACATATACTGCAGACACAGCTCTGTCTCCTCATGTAATCCTCCACAGAAGAACAGACCTTGACTTCCCCGAATAGAATTCTGTCTGAAAACATCAGGTCAGTGAATGTAAACTTCAGTGTATAAGACAAAACACACACAATACCGGAGTATGGAATGTATAATATCACCGGTGCACTCATACAACACACACACACACACACACACTTCTGGTGTATGGAATGTATAATATCACCGGTGCACTCATACAAACACACACACACACACACACACCACTTCTGGTGTATGGAATGTATAATATCACCGGTGCACTCATATTAAAACACACACAGGACTGTGATGAACCTGGGAAGCATTACACCATCCCATCTGCATATCAGGAAATGATCAGATTAAACATGAACAAACACCGATCCTGCAAGGCGGCATCACCACCCTTGAACAGAAAGGGCCGAAAAAGCTGAAGATGTGCAGAGGAAATGAAGGCTCCAGTCACATAGCACTCAGCCATCCAACGGTAATACTCATCGTACTTCTTAGAGATACAATTGTTACACTTTCTGTTTCTGGAGCAGCAGGAGAAGTCTTGTTTATTCTGATCCATCTTCCACATTATAAAAGCAATAAAAAGGAGGGAACCAATCCTGTATTTAGCTTCCGATAACAACCAACATATACTGCAGACACAGCTCTGTCTCCTCATGTAATCCTCCACAGAAGAACAGACCTTGACTTCCCCGAATAGAATTCTGTCTGAAAACATCAGGTCAGTGAATGTAAACTTCAGTGTATAAGACAAAACACACACAATACCGGAGTATGGAATGTATAATATCACCGGTGCACTCATACAACACACACACACACACACACACTTCTGGTGTATGGAATGTATAATATCACCGGTGCACTCATACAAACACACACACACACACACACACCACTTCTGGTGTATGGAATGTATAATATCACCGGTGCACTCATATTAAAACACACACAGGACTGTGATGAACCTGGGAAGCATTACACCATCCCATCTGCATATCAGGAAATGATCAGATTAAACATGAACAATGTCCCATCGTGGTTTCATCTTACTATCAGGCAAACATATGAAAGCAGGCCAACAGTCTGTCCCCAATATGCCACCTGTGTCTGCTGGAGTCAGGAGCGCTCTACAGGCAGTCTAATCATCACCTAAACCTGCTGTAATGGCAGCCAAGGGGAACGCACACCATTTATATGTATCAATTTTATTTAGGGCTAGTTCACACCAAGCGCAGATGCAGATCAGTTACAGAACGCATCAAAACTGCGTCCAATATATTCCAATGGTATTTTGGGCTCTAGTTCACAACACAGCAAGTGGAAAAACTGCAGCATGCGCTATTATTTCTGCTCTGGAACGCACCAGAAAGCATGCAAACGCCCTGGAACGCACTGAAAGCCCATTTTAGGCTAAAATGTTGGATTAGGTCAGCTGTAGACCCTCCAATCATCTCAGAGTTCAAACCAACGCTGTCCTTCCTTCTGGAGGGTGGCTACTTTTGTTCCCCATGGCCCCTGTGTGTGTTGTAAGGTAGTCATCGCTCCAAGCTCACTCCGGTGATGGACTACAATCTCACATTTAGTTTACTGATTTGTATTGAGATTGTAGTCCATCACGGGAGTGAGCTTGGGGCGGTGACTACTTTACAACACACACAGGGACCATGGGGAACAAAAGTAGCCCCCCTCCAGAAGGAAGGACAGTGTCAGCACCAATTCAGAGATGATTGGAGCCTCTACAGCCGAGTGACACACAAATAAGATACATTTCCGTTCAGAGTTCAGGAACTTGAATGCATTTTTAGGATTTATCTCCCGAGTTTCGTGTCACTTTAATCTGTTGTCAATCCGAGTTCGGCATTACAGATTGGTAAACAGTCTCTCCGGCACACCAGTGTAAAAGTAAACCGCACTCCGTATGACATACGATGACCAGGCGCACATTATGTCATCTACCAAAACATTATTATTGTAGTTTTAGGGAGTGGAGTACCAATTGTGACATTAGCAACGTTCCATATATAACAGGTGGGGCCCCTGAGGCTTCCATACAGATGGGTTTTGAACTCATGGAGATGGGGGTCTCATGGGATTTAAACTCCTGTAGGGTCTGGAGTGTGTGGGATATCGGACGAATTCTATGAAGTAAGACTCGGAAACATCTCGCCTACTTCTTTCCCAAAACCATGGCGGATGAGTAACAGGAAGCTGATGGGCCCTTGAGGATGACACCACTGACACCTTTCTAGGATGAGAGATATTCTCTCTGCATCGGTATAGGAGAATCCAGTAGCATCCCTTCTGCTACCTCAATGATTTGAGTGACACCCTTCATGGCCCACCCGGTCAGATTTGGTCTCCACCATGGATGGTCAACGCTGCTGGAGATCTGGCCACCAACAGTAAAGAAGGGGCCACCAACATGGCTTTACCTGGCTTACAACCCCAGAGCCGCTCCCCAACGGTGGCCCCCACATTGCAGTTTTCTTGCTTCAGCTACGTGCTTTTCCAGCAACCCAATGTCAAAACTTCGGGTGAAAAATCAATCCAATTTTGATTTGACCAACCCCCGCCCAATCTCCGATCAATGGACTGAATGACAGAAACCAAATTACTATGAGGTTCCAGTATGGCCCAGGGAAGACTCAACCCCCCCCCCCCCCCCCGCACACGC